GACTTACTGATCAATGACCAAGCCAACACATTTCATCACCAAAGCATGGGTTACTATGAGCTGTTGTCGTCCAGGCTCAGTCTCACAGCCGGTGTTATAATTCCGCGGCTTCGTTGGTCGCGGTTCCCTTTCACGGTGATGGTTCGCGTAATTCTGTGATGTAACATCAATACTTTCATTTTTCAAGTGCGGCTTATGTGAATTTCAATGGCCTCCATTTCATAGATGATGTAATAGACTTTTTGATTCCCTTCATGCAGTAGCAACTAGAGTTCCGTTGGATCTCCAATATTGTTCTGATCGTAGTCTGTGTATTTACTGCTGCCAGAGTACTGCCCTGCTTTAATTGCTGCTGTTGTTCGTCGCCCAGCCGACTTATTCTCGACCTGTTAGAGTGCCTAGCCGGCAGCAGGTCTTCTGTTAGAATTGATACTGCGTACCGAGAGCTCACTGAGGTGCCTCGTGCGCATAGACAGCTAGTCGAAGTGCTGCCACTAAATACCTATTGTTGTAGTGATGAGAAAGATCATGTACACAGTTTCATCGGTGGATGACTGTGGAGGAGCGTGAACACTGTTCACTGGGCAGTACTAAGGTTGCGTTGAGTACTAGAACACTTAATCAGTGGGTTTACTGTTCGATGTCATGATGAACGCGTGTAGTTGTTTGGAGTCGAGTTATTGTTTTTCGACTTGCTGCTTCTATTTGGAGGCGGTGAGAAACTCGATTTCTTAGCTCCCTCTTTAGTTTCTATTGATTGGCTCACACAGTGCAGTCTATCTGTTGCGACCCTTGGGATATTGCTTTATGCAACTTGCTACATGTAAGATGCGACTGCGTTATTGTCGCTGTCCCAATCCCCCGTAGAATACAAGGCATCTCTCTAGGCTTAAGGATTCCCGCAGCTGAGCTTATGATGAAGATAGCCTTCGTCGGCTAAGTATGAACAGGCCTTGGAAGGCATTCAACTGTATCCAGTGTAGTGTAATCTCAATGGGCAAATCACTAATGTACGGCGTTTCGTGTTCTTCGAGTACCACATGTATAGTACACCCCATGCGACGGTAAGACCCTCCTTTCCTGACTCGAATTCTCCCGTTCGCTGGACCTTATCGAAACCTTGTATTAGTCAAAAGGCTCATAGCCCCGATGGCCGAGGAAGCCCAATGTCTAAAGGAGAATCGTCTAAAGACTCGCCCAATCGGAATTGATATTATGCGACAAGAGCCGGCCACTATAACGAGATTATGAGGCGAACAGTACTCGGCGTAACGCAACAGATTCCACAGTATCAAAGCAATGACGGTCGGGATAGTGTAGGACAGCAAACCTACAGCTCGAGGGTAAAGTGACTCAAGTACGTTCCTGGAGAGCCACCGTTTGTGCGTGCCACTAAACGCGGTCGCAACACTTGGAGGCTCTCCATCCGAGAGGCACCGAACTCGGATATAAAAACGAAAAGCAAGCAACATGAAAGTACACAGTCACAATGTAAAAAATCAAAGACATGAACTCATCCTCACAGAAATGACGAGAACGATCTCGTCGTGAACGGATGAATCCAACGCTACCAACGAATCTTGCCGCCAAGACCGTACTTCTCGGCTAGGGCCAGGTAGAGGGGTTCGAGCTGAGCCACCTCAGGCAAGTCGTCCCCCTTCGAGTACAAGTCGAACTTATTGAACTCTTTGACGATCTCGACCTTAGCAGAATCCTCAGGAGCCATTAAGTGGCTGTAGGCACCTTTGTCGTGCCAGGGGTAGAAACTGTGGTAGCGGATGCACCAGCGCCCTCAGTGGGAAGAGTACAGTTGGATGGTTGGTCAGCACTTGGTAGAGATACTCATCATGACCAAAGCCCATAAGGAGGTTGTCGAGCCCACACTGA